CCCCCAAAAAAAAAAGCACAAATAGTAATAAAAGGGATACAAAGAATGGTGAACAACCTTTGTTTCTTCCTTGATCCACATTCTTCACCCAGAAAGACAAGTCCATGTCCAATTTTGACCCATTATGCAGTGACAATGTATAAATTTAGGCTTTTTGCAACACGATATATATATATATTTATATATATAATTATTATACTGGTAACGAGACCTTGTCATTAATAAGATGCTAATAGAGTAAAAATGTTACATATTTCCTTAGTTTTCAGTACCACTGTGCAGAATGGATACCAGATTATCCCAGTAAAAACAGGCCAACTAGGAAAGCTTATATTTTCAGGTGGCACGAATTCTGCTGACTTACTCTCTATCTATATATACATACATATTTTTGCATATACATACATATTTTTGCATATACATACATATACATACATGTGTGCATGCATCCACACCAGTACTTCCTTATTCAGGCCTTGGTTTTTCCAGGACATACTTAGGAAGAGGTTAGATTTGCCCAGAATGCAAAGTTCAGGCAGCATTTAGAAAAATAATATTCCAGCAAAAAGATAGTACAATCCTGTATTGCCAAACTGTCCTGTGAAATGGGCATGGACTGTAACTCACTGAGAAAACAGTTGACAGTTTTCTTGATAGAAGTTCAGGGTATAATATGAGCACAGCAGTAGAATCCATAATTACTGCCACTTGTATTAATCACAGTTACATCAGATGATTTATGGATGACTGAAGCACTCAGACATGTTTCAAAAAAGAGTTTTGAAGAATAGACCATAATTTCTAGTGAAAGGTACTATTTAAATGCAGTCAGAAAAACACTTTTATTGACAATGTGTAGCCCACCTTGTTCCAAATTCAGTGTTCAGATTCTTGCCTTCTTACTGTGATGTTCAACTATTGAACCAGATGGCCCCTTTTAGCTCCCTGGTCTCTCAGTATCAGAAAGATCCTTGGCCACATGATTCACTGTCACAAGCAGAATAAGCCTCTGCCTCTGTTGCCCTTTCCCTCTTCTACATGCCCTGTACATGCATTCGGTAATAGTTCCCTCAGTAGTTATAGAGAAGAAAATACTCTGAAGTTCAACATTTCTAAAAGGATGTTTCAATTTCAGCATTACCAGTGCTATATTACAAATGGCCTGTGTGATAATCCATCAGGATCTTAAGGTCTTAGATGAGTCTTTTTTGAAATGAAGGAGAGATAATTTCCCCACTCAAATGACTTTATGTTGTACAATGAGCAGTTAGCCATGCCCGATGTGCTCGGTAACGAGGGCTACATTCAGTAACACCAAAGAAAATGACAGGAAAAGAACATGGGAAAATGGAGTGTGAGGAGGATAAGTAGCCTGGCACTGTGGCCATCCAAACAAGAGTTATAATTTATCCCTGGTGATGTCCCTGGCACAAGGTGAGCTTTTCACTTGTGTAAGAGCTCTCAGCGTGAGCTCTTTTCCAGTACATCTTCAGTTCTCTCTACTGTTTTATTCCCTTCTTATGTTCATAAAGGTGTTTCTTTCATTCTCAAGGGCATGTATTAATATTTAAAAACTGGTTTGGAAATAATCCTGATTCAAAAAATTGATTAAGCTTTTCTAATGTAGGAAAAGGTTTAGTTTTGGCTTATATACATCAGTGGTTTCTTCTTTCCCCTATTTATTTTCCATTTTGCTAAAACTGTAGTGAATTACTATAAATAAAACTACTTTCATTATAGTTCTAATTTTTAATCGGGTTTCAAACAATTTCAGCTGCATTAGCAATTATTTGAATTAATCCCTTTGGTTTCTAGATATGGCAAACAACATGGAAAGTGTATAGCAGCTTGGCAGAGAGTGGCAGAAAATTAAATTTGACTTTTTGAAGTCTCTGTATTGTATAAAATGAGGAAAAATGTGTTTATTATTCCAAGTCAAAGAGACCTGCCTACAGATCATAGCTCAGTTCTGCCATGAAACACGAGGCTAGGTCTGAGCACCTCAGAGACTCCACAAAGCTACTCTGGAAACAGAGCTGTGTAAAGGTCACTGAAGACAGAATTACGGGTTCAGTGATCCTGTCCTTATACTTGCTTTGAATGTAATCCTTTTACATACACAGTAGGAAGAGGAGCAGCTGTTGCTGGGCTTTGAGGGTATCCACAGAAATAAAAGAGAACAGCTTCCAAATAGGCAATTATTCCCATGTGAGAAATCTCCATTAAAAAATGAAAAAACACACCCAAAAACCTGTGTATGCATATTTGGAGCTTATTTGGAAGTGTGACATTTAATTTGACTGACTTTAATAGTGAAGACTCTGCTACATCTGAAATGAAGCTTTATATACAGTGTAATTAATGGATGTCTGAACCATAACGTCACAGCCCTACAAAGAATAATTCCCAGGAGTAATGACTGCGCAATGGAATTCCACTGGGTTCACAGAATTTCTCTATAAGCAGTTCATACTTCTTAGATAGATTGTCAGATGTATGTAAGATAATGGAAATAATACGTATTTAGTAACCTTTTCAAAAGCAACAAAGGTTGGAAGTCTGTTGTTGTTACAGAAGTCTGTAAATATTTGCAATTACAGAGTGAATGTGTTTGTACATGTATCCTTTATATATAGAATATGAAGTAGAGAATGTTTTGGAGAGTTGCCTTAATGTTCTTTTCTTATTCCTTTAGCTTTTTTACCAGGTTAAAGGAGATATGTGTTTGAAGATAATTGAAAATGGGAAACAAAGAGACATCGTCATCCAAGAAGGGGAGGTAAAACATGGTTGTTTTTCTGTTATTGTTGTACATAGGTGTGTTAAATTAATATTTTATGAAGTATTTAAAAAAATCAATTTATCCCTGCTGTGCAAGACATAGCATGAGGATTAAAAAAATAATAATCTTCAATGCAGTATAGCAAATTCCATGTAATTAACAGCAAACTACAATACACTGTTTAACATTTCCCGATTTCAATAATAGATAATAATCTCTCTGGGTATTTGGGATACCAATTCAGATAATCAGGCATATACTGAGAGGAGTTCTTATTCCCCTGCATGGCATGGAATCTGCCTTGTGAATTCAAGTGGATCAGTCTTTTATTTACAGGTTGTCAGGTACATAGTGCCCACCCACCCAAACACACTATTAAGTGAACTGCCTAAAACTTAGAAAGTTAAGAGATTTGGGTGTTTTCAGCCTTCTTTAGTCCTCACAGCTAGCCTTTGCAAGCATCACAATGTGAGAACAGTTTTAAGAGCAATTTATGGATAAAATTTATCCAGCTGCACTCAATTGTTTTTCCTTATAGTAGCAGACTTGCTAGAGCATAGATTACAGTGCCCTTAATGAGAGCCTGACTAGATACTTTACTTGGTGTTACCCCAAGTTATTAGATATTCTACAACTGACACTCTATTATTGTCACAAGCTTGAACTGCACTCAGTCTTTGAAAGGATGATTAGATCTAGTGGGGCCAACCTTTAAAATCAAAGACATATATTAGACTGAATAGCTTGATGTCATTAAAAGTAATATGACATTTTCAAACCTATAGATGGTGATTCTGGTAATACACTTCACACTGGAGAAGTACATCCAGCTGAGATCCTGGCATGTACCAGAAGCATTAATGAAAAAGGGGCACACAATATCCTTAGTGGGAAGAGTGATAGTTGTCCTGGTGAGGCACTATCATTGCTCTGCTTTGCAGACAGACAAATTGTAATGGCTGGCCTAAACGTGGCTAAGAAATCTGTAGCACTGAAGAACAGTATAGGTTTACCTCCTTCATGCATAGTCAGAGAGCTGCTAAAAAAAGATTTATTCCCAAACTTCAGTAATAGACTTCTACCCAACCAAATGTTGCCTCTTCCCTTTGTCAATTGCACGAGTAAGTAGCCCCTCATATTTGTTAATTGTTTCTGGAGAGAATAACATTATGTGATCACAGGTACTCACTGTGTTGGAAGGATACATGTGGTTGATTAATTTAGACATTTTCTTGAAATGACAAACTTGCTTTTTGTTTATGTTTCTGCTACTCAGAAATTGCAGTAAATTTATAAATTCCAGTTGAGTAACTGGTTAAATTTCTATTTCAATTGTTTCTATCAATGATGATCAAACTGGGAGGAGAGCACCTGACTGCCATAAAGGCAATGCTGATTGCAGAGTCAATGGTCATCATTCACTGAGAAAGCAAGAAACATTAGCTGTTTGTACCAAAGTGGGTGCAGCTGCAAAGGAGCAACACGGGGGAAGGACAGCACAAAGAATAGACTTCCTAATGCTGATGCTTTCCCATTTCTTTGAACAGATGTTCCTCCTACCTGCTAGGATACCTCATTCTCCCCAGAGATATGCAAACACTGTGGGTCTTGTGATTGAGAGAGAAAGATTAAAGACAGAAATTGATGGGCTCAGGTGAAGTATAAACTGTTGGCTAATCTGTTAAGATTCGTAATATAAACTGATTTCTCATGTCAATACAGTACTGTATTATACTTTCCTGATAAATTATCCCATTCACCCTGGCAATTTTTTACTAGTTTTAGCCACACATCTATTTATCTATACACACATAAACAGAGATCTCATGTAGTTAAACAAGGAACATGTTGAAATGTCTTAAATGCATGTTGTGGTTGTAGCTATCTACTTACATATTGCCTACTACTATTACCTTAGGTTTTAAAATATTAGTAACAACACAAAAAGATTTTTTTATCAATTCTGGCAAGCAGAATATTAATTCCTTTGTAAGCACTGAAGGCAAAAAGATGAAGAAGAGCTTTCTTGGCAAGTGTGTGAAAAGCTGGAAACAAAAGTCAGTTTTCTTAACACTAACTCCTCTACATTGTACACACCTCTGCCTAGCTTTTTTATTGCCTTATGAGAACAACATCTTCAAAGAAATGAGAGGTTTACCTTGTATTCTAGTGGGAGCAGGGCTGAACCCTGTCCTGTGGTCATACAGAATTCATAAGTCTAAGAAGGCAAGTCACAACAGTAAAATTAGCCAGGTTAGAGAAGCTGTTTTATTATTAACCAGATATGACTGACCAAAGAGAGTTTACAGCTATTCATGTAATTTATAAAGATTTAAAACTGTGGTAATATCTGTAATGTACTATTTCTGTCCTTTTGCCTACAGTCTTGATTGTTGAGTGGGTGGTGTCACAGCAGGAAGATTGCAAATATGTAGAGCTGGAAAGATACACTTTTTCATTCAAACAAAAAAGGCTAAAGAAAGAAATAAGAAACTAAGAAAAGGACCATTCAAAAAACCCCCACCTGATTGGATTCCAAGCTAAAGACAAATCCAGTTAATTTAAAATGTTCATCTATGTACTTGTCCCTTTTTTCCTTTCATGGCAGGTCTGTGGATTGTGAGCTCTTACATTACTAAAAAGATATTTTTAGCTGGAAACAATTGGCTGGTGATTCAGATAACAATGTTTATTTGCAATAAAGGAACATATGTAGCTTTAGGTAACTTCAAGTAAAATAACCTGCCTTGTATATGAAGTCCATAAATGGTATAAGTTACAGAGATGCTGAATGCCTTTTTAGGCATCCCAGATAAATCTAGAGATTTGGACTCCAATATTGTCATGCTTTTGTGGAGAAATTAATCTAAAAGCTACCATATAGTTTGCAGGTGGAAAAAAAATATAGTTGGATTAACAAAGCACATTTTTAATTGAAAATATCTAATCAGGTGCCTGAAAATAAACCACTTAGAGCTTTTTAGTGCCCTTATTTTCACACTGATGTGGTGAACAAAGACAACTGAAATTTTGGAAGTGAACAATCATGTCATACTTTTGAACTTACATTGCTTCTCTGTATGCTCCTGGGAGAGATGAGGATTTACAACCAGAACCTCGAGTCTCCTCAAACATTTTCACTCCCAGCCACCTGCAGCATAGACTGTACAAGAGGAAGTAATAATAAACTTTGAAGTATACTGATTCAAGGTCTAGTATTATGTTACTGTTCCATTATTTATCATGCCTACAAGCCTAAGTTGCAAATCAGAGCCCCCAGCATGCTGATTATTGTACAAGGGAAGAATAACTAGCCTGCCCCAGTGTTTCAGCCTAAGTAATGATTACATGGTTTTGTAAGAAAAATACACTAGCAAATCTTAATCCTATGGCAAACAAGTACAGAAACAACTGAGTTTAATGTTAGTTGTGTGGTTGGATTCTTTAACACCTAGTAAGGTTCAAAGTCCTTCCCAGGTGCAAAGCCTTTTCCCAGCTGAGACATTTGTAACATCTCTCTTCTCTGTAGATTCTGTGTGTTCAGAATTTGTGCTCATAGCATAGCTTTTTCCATATTGGAGGCATTAATAATCTCAATCTTATATGAGTACCCTGTTTTTGCAAAACTTGAGGAGCAGGGAGCTCTTAGAAAGTTTCTGGACAATACATACATAGATACACGAGACAGACATGAATATACAAATATGCATAGTCCAATTATATAAGCCTTGTTTCCCCTCTTCGAAGACACATTCCAGTGACTTTAACCCAAATGACACACAGGAACTGTTTACAATTGGCTGCAATATGAGTATCCTTCCCTTGCCAGTCCATGCAGTCTTTTTTAAATGTGTAAGTGAAGTCTATGTTAGCCATTCCTTAGATTACAGCAACCCTGACCTGTTAATCTGAGCACAATTTATTTGTTTGTTAAGACATAATATAATGCAAGTGAAGCACTAAGTTCCTCTTCAGAGGGGTAAATGAAGCAACACTTCCCAAATTTACGTGGCTGACAACCATCTATTTTTTGCAAACAAGTCCATAAGCCACCTTGTTTTCTTCTCAGTCCACGCATGGGCAATAAGCAAGCTGATTCTCTTAAATATGAGCATTTATCTCATAGATGAATGGAAGCAGTTACTGGAAATAGTAATTGAAGGCAGTTATTTTTGCAGTAACTACATCAAAAGTGAGAGTTATTGGTCCCAAGGGACTATGGAACTAATTATTTCCAGGATTAAATCTGGAAAGCGTGCTAAAAGAATTATTAAAAGACTTATCTGTGGTTGACCATCATAACTACAAGGCTCTCCATAGAATTTTGAGCACCCCACCCCCAAGTCAGCCAACCAGGGAAACACAAAGCTTCCCCAAATAACCATTCTTCAGAACAAAATACACCAGGCTTGAGAATAACATGCTCTTACAACATCAAGTAGCTATTTTATTGAAAAGACTGAAACTGCCTGATCAGTTAGTGAAAGGATTGACTAATGCTTTTACTTTGTCAGATACTATGTTGGAGAATCGACTAATGTCCTCTTTGAAAAATGGTTTCACTGTGAAGATCTCGGCACTCAACTTATACCAATAATTCAAGAGTAAGCTTTTTTCTGTGTAAATTTTTAAAAGAATGGCTAAAATGATCTAATAGATCTTCATCATTCTGTGACTTACATAGTTAATTTTCTATTTCAGCTTCATTTTACATAGACTTGTTAAGAGTTAATTGCTGCTTTACAAGTTTGTAATCATATTTTGTATACCCCAAACTCACTAAATCAGATTTTAAAAAATAGGAAAATCAAGTGTTCCTTACATATATCTGGAAGATACTTTTGAACAAGTAAAAGCACACTGCTGCTAAGTGCAAAAATAATTGAATGAAAAATAAACATTGAATTGATGCTAGGTTGACTATGTAAAACACTAAATTGCCTTAGGGCTTCTTTCACTCTTGCTTTAATCTAACTACTTTTAATCAATATTATTCATGAATAATCAGGACTGTGGCAAATTTGTTAGAGAGCTGCTTTCTAGGAAATGTGTGAATGTCATCAATTAACTAGTCAATTTGTTAAACGTTTGCTAAAGGTGAACAAGGAAATTGTTCAGTGACATGAATTTTAGAGGACTTTCAGACAAACCCTCTGTCAATAAAATAGATACAGCCCTGTTGAATAAGTGTGATAGTAGCTGGGGATCTGGCACATCCATTCTCAGCACAAAGCCTAATGGCCACTATTAATGCCTAGTGTGTGTTAACCTACAGAATATGAACATGACTTTTTACTGGTGTTTAAATGTTTATTATTCCAGGTTTTTCAATTCAAAACAATATCAAACTGGAAAACCAAATCCAGGTAATGCAATTTGATTTAAGAATTAGAACAATTAGTGTTTCTGATTGAACAGCAATGATTCTCTGCAAATAAAATGACTAAGTTTTGGGTTTTCTTTCTGATTATGTAAATTAAAGTTACTTTGGGAAGTGATTCCTTTCATTTCTCCGTCCATATACATGATTACCAACAGCATCTTGGTTGTTTGTGTGGTGCCATCATAATGGCCTATCAGGTAACGGTGCAGTGTGAAATCTCAATACCTCTATCCTTGCATGCCATTTAAGTCTTATACTAACAAAACTGGATTTCTCACTATGCAGAATGAGATTGTGAGTTGAATCTACACACTCTAGACCTACTTGTACTCCTTTACCTAGAACTCTATACTGTGATCTACTCTTGGGAAATAAGGACACCTAAATAAAGACAGCTACTTTTAGTTCATGTAGGGTCTGGTCTATATATCATTTTATTTCCATGCTGTCTTGCTTGATTTCTTATTTTGCCTCTGTTTGTGGATAGTGATTACAACTTCCACACAGGAGCAGATACTCCAGTCATGACTCCACTCTTGAGTCTGTTAGATAGAGACATAGGACATAGATAAAGTGACTGTTAAAGAAAGCTAATTTATTGCTATCTTTGGGAATCAGATGTCTCAAACATGACAGTTGCTTTCTGTATGGGAACCAAAGGATACTTGTAACAGCACCTCCAGTGGGAAACTTGTTTTGCTGAAATCTTACTATACTGTTGGCCCACAGCTCTACAAGAACATCCAGCACGTGCATGACCTATTGCTGTTGATTAACCTAAACCATGTGCAAAATACAACCCACCTGTCTTATGTACAAAAATCTACACTATGTGACCATTTCTGCACCTGCAGGAATGGTTCTATGGACTATTTGCAAGTGTTTTAGTTAGCTGCAGCCTGGTCAGTTCTGCTGCAGGAACTACCTGGAGAGACTCCATGACATTTCCAGGTTCTTAATCTAGTGTGGAAAAGTACAAATCAGCATAATTGCAGCAAGAGCTGCCTGTGGGATCTCCAGGACAGCCTGAGATTCCCACCTGGAGAGTTCCTGTACCAGTTAGACAAATGCTGTTGTGAAAGCCACCAGTTCAGGCAATCCCATTGCTTAGCTAGGTTTGGTGTTTCAAATCAGTCCATTGTCTCATCTATGCAGATGACTGACTGGGGGATGTCCTGCACCAACCAGGAAATTTGTGGCTCAGGTGCACTGCATGTGCACACAGACCCAGCTGTAATACTCCACTATGCTACTCTTACAACTATGTGATAAACTTGAACGTCATCCTTCAGTTAGACCTGTAACTTAAATTCCATAGCTCTTGCCACAAGTTAAAGATAAATTTTAGTTCCCCTCTCTAAGAAGTTTTTGGAATGAGTTGTCCTTAATCTCCATGTTCATTCCCAGATGTGTTAAATAAGGCAATTTTTATTAATTACTCTAATAGAGACAAAAGTTCTAGTGAAACATTATTTCCACATCTATCCCATTTCTCAGCTTGATAGTCACCATAAAAATGTCACTTCCTGCCATCTCAATCAATAATGGAACAAAGTTCTTACTCAAATCCTAAAATCAGGGAAAGATGTTTTATGCATGAACATCACCTTTCTTAAAAATAGTCACCAAGATGAAAAGGTCACAGAAGTGTCCTCTGTATGGAATAGCAACCTTACAAGCCCTTGCAATTAGGAAATGGTAAGCCAGTCAAATTAGGTAGCGCAGGTACTCTCTCTCACTGTGTGTTCATACAGAGTGAGAAATATAGGAGGAAATATAATTTCAGATGAAGCCTCTAGATGCTGCTGTAATAAAAAAAAAATCTCACACACGCTATCCTTGTTCAATATAGTGATATCCAATAAGCACCACTCACCAGTCTGACCTTAGAACTAATATGTCAGTAACAAATTAAGTATATCAGTGCAGAAAAAGAACATTAAAAATTTATATTGTTAACATTTTTTCATAAGATTAGAGCTAAAGAACAAACCTGACAATCAGAAACTATGATAGATCTTGCTACTTTTTTTTTTAAACAAAGAACTCTGAGAAATTGTTATTGATAAATCCAGTACAGAAGCTCTTTCCTTGTAATTTATTCAAAAGCTGTAAAAAGGCCAAAAGGCGTGAGAGACCTCCCTGAAAGTCTTTTTTTCCAAAACAAAAAAAAAGGAAAAAGAAAGCAAGCAAGCAAATGTCATTATTTGCTCAGAGCTCAACATATCTTTTTCCCTTGAATGGATTCTCCTCTTAGATTAGCCATTAAATCAAGAAAACAAATATTTGAAATGCTCTTGGCTTAACTCTTGCTATAAGCAAAAAGCAGTCAACGAAGTTACATGGCAGGCTTCCAGTCTGGGGAGCAGCTCATTTTTTCCAATTTTCAGTTTTCATAGGCAAAAAGAAGCTAAAAGTCTCAGTGATACAAGAGGAAAACACATCCAATTTTGGTTACAGAAGTTTTAGCTAGCAGCTCCTGTAGCTATCAGTGAAACTTGTATTAAAAAAAATTAAAAAAGAAAAAAAGAATCAAACAAAGTTTGACTGAGATATGAGTAATCTGGTAATATGTTCCTTCTGGAGGTATGCCCAACTGATAGAGAAATAATGTTTGGATTTATTCCCTCAACAGCTCTCTTTTTTCTTAAGAAGTAAAATTCAACAACCTGCATGCACTTGTAACATATAACTAGGTACCACCAGTTTCTCATGATGTTTCACTCAAGACTTACTTTAAGATTTGAGCTGGCCTATGCAGAGGGCTGGGTTTCAGCCTGAGAAACTGAAAGGTTTCTTTTCTGAAAATCCAGAATCCTCTCAGTTTAAAAGTGCCAGCTGAAGTGCTCTCAGGTTCATCTCTCCATAAGTCTGAACTAGTGTCTTCCCATTTTAGTGAGAAATGGAAAAAAACCTGAAGAAAAACATCTTGAAAGAAACAGTTGATTGCAGCTCACTTATAGAGGAAAGCTATAAATTGAATCAATCAAGCTCCAATTGCTTTAAAAAAATACCACACCAAAAAAAAAAAAAACAAACCCAAAAAACCCCCAGAACATAAAAGTTCAGACTTTTTCTTGATTTATTTATGGTTTCTGGATCAGCCAACAGTAGGGCAAGTCCCTCTGAAAGCCGGGTACTCAGAATATAGGAAGAGACAGCAGTAGCTAGCAAAAAGATACAGTTTTAGAAGAGGGACTCAAGTACTACCAGGCAAATTACAATCAGAAAAGTATATTGCATGCAATCCTTACTTGAGGCGTCTTCCCTGTAAATGATTTTTACTGCATTACTAGCTTCTTTTTTAACCATGTGTCAAAATAAAGCCTGAGAAAACCTTCCCCTCCTTTTATCAATAAGAGTAGATTTATTTAGGATATAGTCTAAACATGGAACACTCAAGATAGGTTGGTTTGGTTTACTTCACACAGTTTTTGATATGAGAAATCACAGTTATCAAAACAACTCTTGCTAGTTTCAGTTAAGTCAGACTGGAAGAAAGATTCCCTCGAGATCTCTATTTCATCTCAATCTCATAGCCAAGAGAACAAGAGACAGTTCAGACAGACAAACCCCAGTTCCAACAGTGATGGCTGAATATTTTTCACAAAATATCCAGAAATTTAAAAGTTTATCCCACCATGCTCACTGAAATAACCCAAGTTTCTTTTATGTGAAATTTGATGGGGAAAAGTGCAAGCAAAGACTTTTCCTAATTTAGACTTCTTGTTTAAAAAAATATCTTTAAGAACATTAATGGTGTAGGTAGAATGTCAGGTTTTTGTTTATCCAAATTTGTTAATCTACTAATTATCAATGAAATTTTAATTCCCATAAAAGCTTTATTGTCAGTGGACATACAGATACACTATACAAAACTCAGTCCTGTAGTGACTTCACTTCTGGACTTAAAATCTGGTTAGTAATGTTAGAATACAGCACAGTTCTATGCTTGTGATTCAGAGCAGACAAGACCTAAGGATCTGAGTGAGTATGAAAAATTGGGTGCTTTCTTCAGTCATTTGGAGCAGGAATACCATATAGCTTAGGGCATGGTCTATAAGCAAATATTTTCTCTTTTCAGTAGTGCTATTAAACGAGTTATAAGGTTGAGCTCAGCACTATAAAAATCAGCTTCTCTACTGTCACCCTCTGTAGCTAATCCAGTGCAACCTCTGTAGACAGTATTTGCTGTTCAGTCTGTTTCACTGGTGTATAAAAGCAAGGAGATCAAAAGAGAAGAGTATTAATAACTGAAAATAAGAGAAAGCTAAAGAATGGAGATAACTGGGTAGCGGGCCATATTAATTCAATTAAAACTGTGGCAGAAAAAGAAACAAGGAGAGGAAGAAATTCAGTCTTCATTTACACTAGAGCAAATATAGGGCTGTTCATTTGAACTTGAAATAACTATATAAATGTGCCTTTTTGTTGTAGGTACATTGAAATAATTCTAAAGATAGTATCTTTGGGGGGTTGGGTTTTGTTGGTTTTTTAAATAAGAATTATGATTTTGGAAAAAAGTTTTATTTGGTATGAAGCTATTTAGAAAACTGAATATTTTATTCTCTCTCATCCTTTAAGGACTTCAACATATCTAGACAGATGGCTCCTTCTCTTCTATAATATGTTACTTCTTTCTGCTTTGATTACTTGTATTAAAAGAAATAGCATATGAGCGTTCAGATATTAAGGAATGTTCCCCTAGGGAATTTATTTTGTAAACAGCTACCAAGAGGTCTCCAGGACAGAAGAGTATTCAAACTGATACAGAGTCTCAATAATTTTAAACTGTCTAGACCCACCATAATTTTAAAATGCTCCGAGACAATATATCTATAACTTTTATCAACAATTTGAATCTACTTCTTTTTCATATCATTCTCTTTGTCTCTGTTCCGGCAAAGATACCCACATAAATACACATTTCATCTTTATCTCATCATAAATCCTTTAAGTAACTTCCAAGTCATGTTCATATCT